GGATTAAAGGTGTAGATTACTACCACTGGGCACAATGTATTTTTTTAATTTCATTAATGATTTGTTTGTTATTATTTTGTGCTGATTTGCTGCTTATTTTATTGTTCTCTTCAAGTTTCCCAACACAAATATATTGTTCATTAATATCCAGTCCTCTTTCACAGTATAAACACTTTAGACTTATTTGTAAGACTATATTGTATAAAGTTTTTTACTTAATCACATATCATGTTTGGCATTTCATTAGTCTTTGATTTTTAATAATTTATGATTTTCATTATTTTTTCTTTGACCTGTAAGTATTTAGAAGTAGATTCTTAATTTTTAAAAACAATGGGCTCTTATAATTAAGAGCTCTTTTATTTAGAGCTAGTGAGATGGCTCAAAGGTCAAGACTTCTGCCACCAAACTTGATGACCTGAGTCCAATCTCTGGAACCCATGCTGTAGAAAAAGAGAACCAACTTTAGCAAGGCTCAGAGGTTAAGAGAACTGACTGCTCTTCCAGAGTACCCAGGTTCAATTCCCAGCACCCACAAGGCAGCTCACAACTGTCTGTAACTCCAGTTCTAGGGGACTTAATACCCATGGCAAACACCAATGCACATAAAATATAAACAAATAAGTAAATGGAATCAAACATTTTGTCTAAACCTTGTTTATTTCTTTTTTATTATTTTATATAACATGTATGAGTGTTTTGTCTGTATACACGTGTATTAACCACACATGTACCTGAAAGGGCAGATTCTTGGAAATTGGAGTGATAGACCATTGTTCTTAACTTCTGAGCTGTCTCTCTAGCCCCATAATCTGGTGTGTGTGTATGTGTGCTATTTGTTTGTTTATTTATTTTTATCAACTTCTCTGTTTACTTCTGTCTTAGGGCTTCTATTGCTGTGAAGAGACAACATGACCATGGCAGTTCTTATAAAGGAAAACAATTAATTGGGGCTGGCTTAGAGTTTCAGAGGTTTAGTCCATTATCACCATGGTGAGAAGCAAGACAGCATGCAGGCAGACATGGTGCTGGAGAAGGAGCTGAGAGAGTTCTGTATCTTGATCCACAGGCAGTAGCAGAACACTGTGTGCCCCACTTTGCATAGCTTAAGCACATATGAGATAGTAACATACTTCCTCCAAAAACCTGTCTCAAAAACAAAACAAACAAACAAATACTACTGAAAATTTTAAAGCTTTCACTAGGATGGTATACTTGCTCCTAATGATTATTCTACTTAGCAATTGTTTAATTGTTTTACATTTTGAGATATGACAATGTGTTAATTCATGTTCCCATCAGTACCTTCTCTCCTGTTTCTTCTTTCCTCCCCAGCCTCAGCTCCCTGTGTAGCCCTGACTGGTCTGGAACTCAATATGTAGACCAGGCTGGCTTCCCACTCACAGAGACTGGCCTGCCTTTGCCTCCTAAATGCTTGAATTAAAGACATTTATCACCACTATGTCTAGTTTTTCCAGTTCTTAATGTGACTGTTCATCTTTGACTGTTTATTGACTGTGTTTCCTTTACTATACATTATCTATTGGTATCATTTGTCTATTTTCCTTTTGTGTTGTTTATCCTCATTTTGACTGAAGAGAAACTGTTGTAGCAAATATTTTTCTCAGTACCTGTCCTGCTTTTTCGCTTCTCCTGAACAGCCGTCTTTTTCCTTAACCCACAGAAATACTTAAATATTGTCTTTACTTTGACAATTTCATGGCTCCCTGTCTTCCCACTCTTTGCTTGCCTGTGTTTATGTTTATAGAGTTTGCTTCCAGTATACTAATTTCTTTTTTAACTTCTAGTTACATATTTAACTTATCCATGGCTCTTTATTTTACTAATTTATTTTTCATAATTAAAACTTAAAATTTTATTTCCAATCTGTCTTTTTTTTTTCTCATTCCTTGCAACTTACTGTGTATGTGATTTTTTTTTTCTCTCTTGAAACATGTAATATCTAGGTGTTCATGTTCTGTGTTTTATTTTTCAAATATATCAAATTCTCAGACAGCCTAAATATGCTTTTTGTCATTTTTTATTTCTTATACTCATGGTAAAGGCTTTCAAGGAGGACAAACAGGTACAATGTTAGATATTTCAAATGAATGGAATTGATTAGAATACATTTATTTCCTACTAAGTAGGAAAACCAAAGTCCACACTTTCACAAGTGTGAGATTCTGCAAGAGCCTGGCAACCTTCCATCCCTTTGAAATTGCTCAATTAGCTGCAGGTGCTTCTGGGACTATCCCACCTCCATCTTACTGACCCACCTGGACACCACAGAACAGTGATTCCCAGGGCCCTGCCCTTGACAGCCTAAGCTGAAAGAAAGAAGTATCTCTCTGTCCTCCCCCTCTAATCTATGTTCTTCCTTTGGTAGAACCTGGCAAGAAACAAGCTAACAAAGGAACTCAGGAAAGATAATTTCCAGGCTTGCAGCTCTTTGCAATACAGAGGTCAGAAGTGTGTAAACACTGCTGAAGGATAACCAACCCCAAAACAGCAGAGATCCCTCCCTTGACAGTTGGCTGAGTTACATCAGCGTTGATTTAATCTCAGAAGACCTCTAAGTGAGGTCTTCCTAGAAGCACTTGGATGCTTCCTTAAAGACTGCCCTTTGTGACAGACAACTCTGATACACATTGTTTGCAGGGCAGTGTCTCATGAGTGCATATAGGGGAACCATCTAGCAAAGTGTGCCTAGCTTTGAGTGTGTGTGTGTGCATGTGCGTGTTGTATGTGTTTCTGCTAACCTTTCCTGGCGTTAGGAAACCAGTGATGGTTTCTTACAGCTTCCTTACCTCATTTTCTTTCTTCTGTTGTTCCCCCTTATTCTCCTATAGCTCTAAAGTCAGTCATTTTGAACTGATAGTTGTAAGTTCTAAGTTCCTAATTTAAAACAGCAGATGAATAGATAATATCATTGTTCTCTATAAATAACCCAAGTTCATTTTACATGTGGAGCCATACCTGAATTTTCCTAATAACTACAAGGAACACATTCTTCTCTTCTGATCCTAAACACTGCTTCTATCTTTGGAACTTCGTTAGAAATGCCATAAAGTTCTGTGATCTGCTTCTTCTGCCCATATTGTTATCTGGATTGAATTCAGGTGCCATACTCTCCTTCAGTGTTTAATTGAGCAGGGGCAGAATGAGGTGTAGACTTGTAGATGGAAGTTTCTGTCCTACCTGATCCTGGAGCTGTTTAGTCCCAAATAAACGCATAGAGGCTTATATTAATTATAAACTATTTGGCCAATGCCCCAGACTTCTTATTGGCTAGCTCTCTTTTAATACCCATTTCTTTTAATCTGTGTATATCCTGGTGATACCCAGGTCTCTTTATTCCACAGCAGCTATATGACATCGTTCTCATGACTCACCTCTGCACTCCTCTTCCCAGAATTCTCAGTCTGTAGCCCCACCCATACTTCCAGCCTGGCTACATCCTGCTTATCCATTGGCCAACACAGCTTTATTGATCAGCCAATAAGAGAAACATATATTCATAACATACAGGAGGACATCCACCATCATAGACCTAGGCATCCACATATTGCTCATATCCTTCAAAGACAACTGAAACGGCATCAGAACTTTGCAGTTCAGGGAAAGGTCAGCCTAGGGACTCAGCATGGGTGTCAGACCTTCACTTGTCAGGCATCTGTGTCCATGAGGGGTTTGAAAACAGAAAACTTTTATTGGATAGGGGATCACCCCATTTTTCCACGACATATGGGCAGCATTCCTCAGGGAAATTTCACTAATTTACAGTTAGTTGTGAGGATCCTGCATTCTGCAAGTTCACACAGGGTAGCACTCACTTAGAAATATAGTTCTTAAACTACAGATTGCATCACTATTTGCTTTCTGAGGGGGAAGGATCAGACAGTTGGAAATGAATGTTAGCACCAGAGACTGAATCCTGATCCTCTTCTTACATACCCATGTGTGTGAAACTGAGCAAAAGAAAGCCCCAGTTTTCTCAACTGCAAAACTGGGACAGTAACAGTTTTCACCTCAAAGTTTAATAAGGTATCAACTGTTATCTGGGGCTTTTCTGGGTTGAGTGTCCTTGGGATAATCTTTAAGAAGCACCCACAGATGGCAGAAGCTGAACAGCCCTGCAGCCCTTACAGACTTGGTTCAGGAGTGCTAGCCTGCAGAGTGAGCCTTCACTGTTGGAAACCATCAGTGGGAATTCTCCTACAACACAGGGTTTTTCTGATGGCCCTTTCCTCCAAGGTCTAGTAGGAAGGCAGGGACATATGCAATACTATGAGGACTGGGGCTAAAAGGCGTCTTCTGGATGGTTCACAATACCAGAACACAAACCATCGTTAGCCCGGGGGTTAAAGCAATGCAGTTATTAAATCTTCATGGGTCAGGCAGGTGTCTTGTCTCTTTCTAACACAGGAACAGGGTAGCTCAAAATACAAAACCTGGAGCAGAAAGGAGGAGCCTGGCAGGGTAAGCAGGGGCCTCTAGATAACTAGCAGTCCTCTCACGGTGCTCGCTCCCTGTCAGTAGATCTCCACCATGGGCACATCCATTGTCCTGGCAACACCTCCAACAAACCTCTGCGGCCTGGAGGCCGGGCTCCCGGTGTCCATCAAGGGCCGGGGTGGAGGGAGGTGTGCTTCCTTCACGGTCAACGAGAAGCACATCTTCCTCCAAGTCCCGAGTGGCTGGCAAGGGGAAGCAGGCCAGGGTGGGGTTAGAGGTAAAGTTTCCCTTCCTGGGGCGGAGGGAGGGAGGCTGGAGGCGCGGCGGCGTCGGCGTGCTCCTCCGTGCGCCCGGGCGGCGCGGGCGCGGCCGGCGCTCCTGCAGAGGGAGCTGTGCGCCCGCTCTGGCGCCCGCGCGGCGACTCCTCTCCCTCTTGCCGCCGCTTGGGCCCGCCCGCCGGGGAGGGGCTCTGGGTCTTGCCGACAGCGTCTTCCTGCTCGGCGTACAGCCCCGCCGCGAGTCCGCCCGTGCTTGCCGGTCGCCAGCAGCTTTCTCCCTCGCCCGCCCGCCGCAGTCCGCGCCCAACCTCGCCCGCAGCCCCCGCAGCCCGCGCCCGGCCCCGGCCATGCTGTCCTTCCAGTACCCCGACGTGTACCGGGACGAGACCTCCGTGAGTACCCCGCTCGCGCTGCCGGGCCCGCGCCACCCGCAGCCCGGCTCCCGCAGCCCCGCGCCCCTGCTCCCGGCGCGGCTCCCCGGCCTTTGTTTGCGGAGCCGGCCGGGGTCGCGGGGCGCCTCCCAGCGCGGGACGGGCGGGCGGTCGCGGCCCACGTGCCCGAGCGAGCCTGTGGTCAGCGCGGCCCGGCCCCAGGGCAGACGCCGGGCAGGCATGGGCGCCTGGGGCCGGTGGGGACACAGAATATACCCCTGTGTCTCCAAGTGGAGAAGCCTTCTTGCTTAAATATGGTGGTAGGAGAAACTGTATTCTGGTGTGTATGCGTGGGAAATGATGTAAGATTTTAAAACAAAAGCAAACTTTGAAAACTTGGAATTTGCAAGTCCTTAGAGTTGAAGCTCATTCATTCCGCTTTAAGGCAGCCCTGCCACGAGCCGGGTGCTGGGCGTTGTTTGCTGGAGTGCAAATAAGACAGAGTAGGGTGGGGAAGGAGCAGGGGTCACAGTGTGCACCAAGTTTGCTTAGGAAAGGAAGTTAAGTCAGGGGAGGCCTTTTGCAAAGTAAGTTGTGCCCAGTGGGAGTAACTGTTTACCTAAACTGCAGGTGAACTTGAGACGCTGTGAAATTCAGAATTCTGTGTGCGTGCGTGTGTGTGCGTGTGCGCGCGCGCGTGTGTGTGTGTGTGTGTGTGTGTGTGTGTGTGTGTAAAATTTAGTTTGGCATTGAATAGGTAGATTAAATCCAAACATTATGACCCTGATTCCTGCACTCATAGGCCACTGTCAGTTTACTTAAAATAGAGTTATAGTCAAAATACTTTTTATAATACAGTTGTCTTTTTTTCTGTTTACTTTGTTCTGGTTTACACCACAAAGTGTACTCTGAAACTCACTGAGGTAAATGCTTAAATGTGAGAGACCATCTTGTTTTCAAAGGAACTTCAAGTTATCTGCTGCAATGTTTCTTTCACCAGTGACCATCTGGTAACCATGTTTCTCGGTCTGTTCAGCTGCTTGCTTATTGAATTTGTCCTAACCATTCAGGAAACCCTCTTCCTCCAGGAAGTGATCCTGCATATAGGAGTGAAGTGATCCTGCTGGAATGAGGAAGGGGACTGGTTAGCCCCCAGAAAACCTGAGTGCTGTTCTGTTCTGGTGCTGGCCCTCACTATCTGGGCAAATCTCAGCTGTTACAGGCCTCCTTTCTCCTGCATGGACCATTAGGGCTGGCATGGGGCTTCACTTGCTCATAGAAGACTTGCCATTCGGGTGATCCACCTCAGCAGTGGGTTACATGGGAAGATGGGGAACTGTCTTGACCAGGTTAACATATACATAACATATGCATACATTTAATATATTACCAGTAATATACTATATATATATATATATATATATATATATATATATATATATATATAAAACCTCTATCATTTTGTGGTTTTGACAAATACAGTCTTAGGGTTTTTTTTTTTTTTTAAACCTTGGGGTGGGGTGAGGGTTGTGTTGTTTTTTTGCTTAATATTTCTGTACACCAATCTGTATCAATCTTGTAGTTTTTCTAAGTTTAACAGTTTCTGAAAGGGTCAAGAAGGGCTTTTATGAAGTTTTCTAAAGGGTTACACACAACTGTAAAGGGGGTGTTTAGAATTTAGTACATTCTCATTCCTTCTCACCAAAGATCTATTGATACCCGTAAGCCTGTGGCCTTGATGAAGGAGTAGCAGCCTTGGCTGTCATGTGTTAGCCTGATAACCTACATGGGTGGCATGTAGGGTTCTAATACCAACTCCTAGGCTTGACTTCACACATTTGCCTGATTGTAGATTTTGGAGGTGGGTTTTGTACCTAATACATAATCTGGAAATGTCTGTGGTTTTGTCTCTCACTTGAGCATCTTTTGGCCATGCTTATCAGCTCCCTGTAAATGTGGAGTTGGAATAAGAAGCCCATGTGTGAACTTGTGTCTTCATGAGCAGAAATTTGAAAGTATGGCCCTTTTCATGTAATACCATTGACTCTTCTATGTCATTGTTGTTTATGTAACAAGTCAGGGAATTTAGGCCTCCTACAGGTCACTCAAGCCCTCATAGAGGGCATTTATTGGGTGCGTGGAGGACACAGAAACGGATGGGGCTAATTTACATCAGGAGAAGGAAATAATTTTCTAATTGGGTCTGAGAGTTGACTGGCTAAGGCAGAAAGGAGATTAAAATAAAGCTGTAGCTTCGCAAGCATGAACAGCTGTGAAACTACTTTTACTTGTGGGATAGCAGGAAGACCCTCTTGACCACACCACCCATAAAAAATGAGGCTTGGAGGCAGCTGGACAGAGAAACAGGCACAGCATTAAGCAGTGCAGTGTCTTATCAGGACTATCAGCTCCTTGGGGAGGTGAGGGATGGCTTCCAGACTTAAATCATGATGAATTAGATGTGTGTAACCTCTATTTCAAGGGGTGTGGCTGTGGGGCCACTCTGTAGGGCATAATCTTATAAAGGGGGGGGGGGCAACAATGGAGAGGATATTGTGGACTGTGGCTCTTGGGGATTAACACTGGAAGGGTCCTAGAGAATCTTCCTTGTCTTGGCGATGTCTTTGTGATAACTAACATCAGAAGACATAGCTGTTTATTTCATGTAAAGGACCATTTGGGAGGTGGTCTGGCTTGAGATGCTCTGGGTTGAAGCCTGGCCTTGTACTTGCTGGGGTACACTTGGTCAGGTTTACTAGCTAAATACACAGCAGACTGTTAGATCCACAGGCTTTGGGATCAGTTACAGATAAGTTACTCCCCACTTGTTAGCCCTCATACCCTGATTGCTTTGGCTGTTTCTGGCCTTAATTTCCTCGCCTCACAGCAAGGGTTGGTTAAATTAATGTGGAAGAAATCCATAGAGTATTGTGAACTCACAGTCTCCTGTCTGTACTAGTAAACCATTTGGCCTTTGCTGTTACTAACCTCTCTGAATTGTGTTTTGCAATCTGTAACCTGAAAACATCAACAACTTTTTATATAGCAAAGTCAATAGCAATCAATAAATACCATAGCAGCACTTTCTCCTAGGTGTGAAACTGCTATGGTTACTTTAGTTAACTTTTCTACTCTTTTATGAAAAGTGAATTTGGGGATCTGCCCAAGGACATTTTCAAAGTGGTCTGTCCTCAAGGCTGGCTGGCTGGTTTGGTCGCAGTCCTGATGCCGATGGTTATAGGCATGTTGCTCAATCCTCTGCCAGAGCTCCTCAGAGGACTTTCAAACTATGTTTCTGTATTGACAACAGAGAGAAAGTTTTTACTGTAAATCTGTTCTAACTACTCAAGGTGTCAAATGCGAAAGATCTGTAGACAAGAGAAAATCTTAAAATGCTTTCGTTGAGTGGCCATCAGCTGAAACTGGGAGTGATAAAGGGGAAAGTCGGGTTTTATGAAGACCCTCGAGGAGCAGGGTTAGTCTGTTTTTGTGTCTCTTGCTCTGGTTTGTCGATTGTATAATGAAACTCCTAGACCTTTCTCCTGCTTGCCCAGCCTGTTCTGTACACCTTCCAGTTTCTCTCAGCTGGCTCTGGGGAGTGAGAAGTGCAGACAGCCAGGCTACAGGCAGGAGACCTGAGCGTGGAGGAACACTAGAAAAAGCAATCAGGTGCCCTTTCCAGAAGAGTTTGTCTTCTTTGGGGAATAAGCCTATCCTTCCAGTATCGTGGTATAAAGCAAGGAGACAAGTTACAAATTCATCATGAGAGGGGGTGACCGCCCCACAGCCCAGTGCAGTTAGGGTCACCTACAGACCAGACCGGAGAAACTGTAGGTTTTAGTTAATTGGGTTAAACTTGACCCGTTGAGGTGGAGAGATTGTGTAATGCTTTTTACTTTTGGATTGTGTCTTCAGGCATGGCATCATGGAAGGTGTGTGTCTTCTAGCTCCCTTCCCTGGTCTGTGGAGCCAGGCCTTGTACTTTGTGCTGTCAGAGGAATCTTAGTCAGGACACCCAGAGGACCCCCCCCCCCTCCAGGTTCTGACAACATGTAGCCGTTTCATTTCTTCAGATGTCTAAGTGGTGATGGCATTTGTGCTGTATGTAAGTGATAAAAGGTGATATCGTAACAGTATGAAAGAGGCTGTGGTTTGCGCATGCCCAGGGGTGGATAGGTCAGCTTCTGTAGCTGGCAGTAGAACCATGCTATGAATTAGAAACTTGCTTTTAGTAGTTCAGACCCAAAGCAAAACTGATCATATGCCATGTTGTAGGTAGCTGATTTCATTAGCCAAGCTCAGTGTGAACAGAACCATAGCCATGTGTGGTGACTCCTTTCCAGATGTGTCCTGTGCTTTACTCAGCAAACAGTTTTGAGTTTCTTTAGCCCAAGCCAGCCTTTGTTCCGTGTTGTACAGAGTGAGCTGTTTCCTATTTGGACCTTTCTTCTTTCTTACCTGTCCCATTAACTCATGAGGAATGGCTTTGGTTCATGTGGTACTCTGGGCAGACATATTGCATGAGTCAGTATCATTATCTAGCCCTTTCCCATTTCTCTATCATGTACAGGATATATATGTGTTTTTAACTGGGCCTGGGCACTGATTACTCAGGATCTCATTTTGTCTTTTGCAGGTACAGGATTATCATGGACATAAAATCTGTGATCCTTATGCTTGGCTTGAAGACCCCGACAGTGAGCAGACAAAGGTAATTTTGCCTTACAGTAAACATTAAGCAATCTTAGTGACCAGCACTCACCTGCAGATGTCTGTAGCCAGAGGTTTCCCTGACTGTGTCTCTGTTATCTGTGGGCACCCCAACTTTTTATCAGATGTTTTGAGGAGGAAAAGGAAGAAACACATTCAGTTCCCAGAGTAAGTAAATGTTCATTAAATGTGGCTTGTCCTGACACTGGTGTACAATGTATTTGGAGTGAAAATACTAGAAGGAATGGAAGAAAACAAATAGTACCAGAGGGAAAAATGGCTTAGTTTATCATGGGGTGGGACAAAGAAATAAAAATCTTCTGTATTGGGCAGATGCTAGTTTTGATAATTCAGTACTGGTTTTAACACAACAAAGAAAACAAACTGAAATTGTAACTAGAAGAATATTGTTAGATTTTGTTAAAGTCAGGGCAGAGGGAATACTCAAAGAACATAAAACACATTCCAAGGTCTCAGCTAAGGTTGTTTGTTAATGAAGTTCTGCTTGAGTGCTGTGACTTGGAGATGGTCCTGTGCACTGTGGAACTTGTCAGTTATATACATGCTAAGTGACTAGTTTTCCTTTTGAGGGACTACCGTGTCTCAAATTCATCTTTTTGTTTTGTTTTGTTTTTCTAGACAGGGTTGCACTGTGTAATCCTCTCTGTCTGTCCTGGAACTTGCTTTGTAGACCAGGCTGGCCTTATACTTAGGGATCCTCCTGTCTGCCTCCAGAGAGGAAAGATTAAAGGTATGGGATTAGAACCACCACAACTGGCTCTCAAATTCATTTTAAGTTCCTTACCTCTCTGAGGTATAGCCACACACTCATACTACTTTGTACATGAGAACATATTTACTGGGGCTGGAGGTGGCTCATTAGTAGAGTGTTTGCCACACAAGTCTAAGGACCTGAGTTCAGATAACCCACACTCAGAAAGCTGGGTATACCCTGTAATCCTGGAACTGGGGAGGTAGAGATGTGAGGATCCTGGGATTTTGCTGGTCAGTCAGTCTAAAAGAATCATTAGACTCTGGCCACCATATGGGCTCAATACCCTTCTGCATAAATAGAAGCTCACACATGCAGAACACAAAGGAGAACTTGCATTCATGTACTGTTTTTAATATGCTTATTGTCCTGGTTAGTCTCTGTCAACTTGACATACATCAGCAAACTGGGAAGAGGGGACCTCAGCCAGGGATTTGCCTCCATCAAAGTGGCCCATGGGCAAGTCTGTGGGGGCATTTTTTGGGAGGGTTCCCCATGGTGGATGGTACCATCCTAGCAGGTGTACAGCAAGGTAGGGGAGCGAGCCAGTAACCAGTGTGGTCTCAGCTGTAGTTCCTGTCTTCATGTTCCTGGCTTGAGCTTCTCCCTGTTTTTTTACTGTGATGGTCCTGTACAACCTGCAAGCCAGATAAACCCTCCTTCCCCAGGCTCCTTTTTTTTTTTTTTTTTTTTTTTTTTTTTTTAAATCTCATTGTTTGACTCACAAATTTGAGTGTCTTTAGAATCCTAGCATATATTTCCCCATTTAAAAAAAAACTTTTTTTTTTTCCTATTATGAATCCAGTTTCCATTTTATTTTTCTAGTGACTTGGCAGGATTTGGGCCTTCTTGATAATTCCCGGAATCCTGAGTCTTTGTTTCAAATTCAAATATATACAAATTCTGTGAGGGGCACATTGTACCCATCCTTCACAGTGAGAGTCTTCCACAAACCTCATATTTGTCGCTCACAGTGAAGGGTTTCACAAATCCCAAGACTTCTTTACAGTGAGGGGCGTGGCCAATCCTATACACTCATCCTTCATTTTACCATTCATTTGACTCGTTTCAACTCACCTAGCTTCTACCCACAGCATATTATTTTGTCAAATTACAAATGTTGTATCATTTCATTGTAAACATTTGTATTCCTTACCTACATATAATGAATCTTTTTAATACCATCACAACATATTATGACAACTAAAAGAAATGACAATAATTTTTCAATAATATCAAACATCTACAACTCAAATTGTCACTCTCTTCACAAATACCATAATTTAAAACGAGGTCTCATGGTTTAATTCCAGTAAGCCCACAGAGATTGGAGATTATTTTTGTACTTTTTGAGACTCTTAGATTGACTTTCTATTTCTTGATTATTCTCTTTACAATATGAGGAGGGAAAGTATGCTATCTTTTGGAGTGTGTCTTGCTGATATTTGCTGTTTGGGAATCTAACATCTTTAACTAAAAAAGAAAAAAAAAAAAAAAAAAAAAAAAAAGAAAAAGAAAAAGAAAAAGAAAAACCAAACTAGTCATGTGCTGCCCAGGTCGTTTTTCAGGCCATTTTCTATGTCCTGTGTCTGTGTCTCATGGGCCCACAGCACCGTGACATCAGTGTTCCCTGGAGACTGAAGTCATATTTGCAGATCTGTTTACACTCTCTGGGAAGCACCAGCTACTGGAATGGGGCTCTCCCTGCTTCCGCAAGGAGAGAACTGGAGCAGGCTCCTGTAGGCAGGTGAGACATGGCATAGGAGCAGACCGCTCTGGCTACAGTTCATGCTGTCTCTGTCTTCATCCTTGTAGCCCTCGTCGAATGGGCTTGCCTTCTCTGCTTCGCTCTGCTAGCCACCTGTCACGTGGCTGGGGCCTTCTTCTCTGTTCATCATGGTTCTTCCCACTTCCTTCCTGCCCTTTTTCCTGAAGTCAGCACTCCTCCATCTTGAGGTTTTTAGGTCTGCAATCCTCCATTTGTTTCCCAGCTCTCCTCCAGAAAGACAGAATCCTCACAGTTGAGGAGTGACCCTGGACTGTACGTTTCTCCTAAGGGTTTCCAGCACGTCCTCCAGGAAACTGCCTCTGATGAAGTAGTGATTCTGTTGCCTAAAGTGTCTGGTCCAACCTGGGTCCCTCCAGCCTCTGATGCTGCTTGTCCAAGTAACTTAGCAATCTCAGACTGACCAGATGCACTTGGTGTGCTGATGAATGTGTGCTGTGCTGTTTCTCTGTTCCTAATGACTGGTCCTGTGGATAATAAGCCACTTATTAGTGGGTGCCAAGCTTCCAGTTAATAGATGGAATTTTGCTAATTAGTGATGCAGTCAGCCTTTGATGGCTGCTAATAACGCATTATTATTTTCATGGTTTAGATTTACTGTATGCTTATGTGTGTCAGACACTTTACTGAGAGCTTTGCCTACTGTATCACGTTTGATTCTTGAACTCTGAAATAGATCCCCCCATACACATACATTTTACAGTAAAGGAATTGAAGTATTAAATGTGAATTAAGTAACTTGCCAAGGTTACCTTCTGGTGTATTTTCAGGAGTGGAACCCAGCAACAGAGTTGATTATCAAAAATTAAACTAAAAGTAAAAGTGGAAGCCAGGTAGTGGTCACCCACATCTTTAATCCCAGCACTTGGGAGGCAGAGGCAGATAGTTCTCTGAGTTCAAGGCTAGCCTGGTCTATAGAATGAGTTCCAGGGCAGCCTGTGCTACACAGAGAAACCCTGTCTCAAAAAACTAAAAATAAATAAGCAAAATAAATAAATCAATAAAATCGAAAGACTTAAAAAAACAACAGACTGTTTGGGGATGCTGGCTGTAGGAATGTGTCTGAACATGCCTGTCGGCCTTCATTCCTACAGTCTGCTCACACAACTGCATCTATGCCTGCTCACCACACACACATAGCTTCCTGTCGCTTTCTGAAGAGGCTTGGTACTGATAGTGTAGTGTCTTACTTAGAATTGAATGAGTTAAATTTCTGTTTTGAGATTAAAAGGGAAACTAAGTAGAGTATGGGTTGGGGGGTTATAGGAGATGGGATATGGGGTCATCCTGTGTGTGTGTGTGAGGGGGTCTGTCACACTGAACCTACTATTTACTGATTTGGTTAGTTGCCTGACCAGAGAGCCCCCAAACCCCTCCTTGCCTCCTTAGCCCTGGGATTTGGGATGACAGGGCACAGCACCTCACCCAGCCTTTTATGTGGGTGCTGGGATCTGAACTCAGGTCTTCATCCTTGTGTACCAAGTACTCTACCATCTGAGCTGCCTCCCCAGTGCACAGAATCAAGATCCCTTGCCCACTAAGCAGATGCTGTGCCCCAGGCTGCAGTCTCAGCTCCTCTGTGTGTTTTAGAGACGCAGCAGGAAAACTTTCTCCTCTTGGTCATCAGTATTTCCACAGATCGGTGTTAGCCACACTTAGTGGCAAGAGGAGAATATTTACACAGTTTTCACAAAACAGTAGCAAAAACTAACTTGTCACATGTTCAGTAAAAGCAGTCAGAAATGAGAAATGCTTGCAGTTTCTTCGTCCTGGGTTCTGTGATTTAATCTAGTATTTAATACAAGTTGTCTAACTGACCTTGACTGTGCCCTTATTAAAAAAATATCAGCAGACATATAACATGGAAAACTCCTAGCTGGGGTGGGTGACACCTTTCAAGTTGTCACTGTTGAGTTCTCACTTTATAGCAGACATTCCCAACTGTAGATCACACACAGCTCAGTGCAAAGTCTGAAGCAGAGCCTGGGATGGAGACCTGGCTGGGTTTCTAGGAGGCCCCATGTGAACTGCCGACCATGAGCCCTCCTGAGGGCAGGTGGTCCTGGAGAGGGAGACAGGTGCCTACCCCAAGGTTGTAATGCTAGCAGGCTTTGGGGCCTGACATGAATCAGCTATGTCTTGGGGATGAGAGGGACCCCAAGGGGAAGGCACACCACGTAGTTGAGGACTGCGCAGTAAGCACTGTACTTGGTGCTTGTTGGTGTTAATGCTCAGCAAGAACTGAAAATAAAAGATACTTTAAAAAATAGACTTCTCACATTGTCTTGGAAAGTGCAGTGCTAGGTTCCTCCAGCTTCAGTTTCTAGATGTTCCCTGAAAAGCAGCTCTATGTGACTGTTTGGCTTGCCCTGCTTGCTGGCTTCTGTGACTGCCCGCATGTCTGCCCTCCCTCCAGGTCCTGAGTCCCTTGGCCTCTGGAGGG